CTCTCTCTCTCTCTCTCTCTCTCTCTCTCTCTCTCTCTCTCTCTCTCCCCCAGAGGGGAATTAAACCCAGGAGTGCTTAACCACCACTGAGTCATCTCCACAGTCCTTTTGATTATGCTCTAAAACCACTTTTTAGAGACAGACTGTTCTCAAGAAAGGTTTTGAGGAATTTTCCTTGAATGCATTATTTATGCTTTTTTTTTGCTATTTATAGATACATGTACTAAGGCCTAGTACTTTTATCATTTTTATTGTGATTAATCCAAATACTTGATCTACATAGAATTGACCAATTCTCCAGAGTCCCCAAATATTTCCCCCTGTATAGATAGAGGACTTAGTGGTAACTAGGGTGCCAAATCAAAGAATCATCTATTCAATGAGAAAGACTTACAGACAGCTCTTAATTTTGGAAATCTAAACCATTGTTCATTGATCCCAGTGACCAGGAAGGCTGAGTCAGGAGGATCACAAATTTGAGGCCAGCCTCAGCAATTTCACAAGACTCAAACCAACTTTGTGAAAACCTGACACAAAACAAAACAAAAAAAGGACTGGGGATGTAGCTCACTGGGAAAGTACCCTCTGAGTTTAATCCTCAGCGTATACACACACACACACACACACACACACACACACACACAAAAGAAAAAAATCAAATTGTCACAAACTCCTTCTTTGTACCCATGTAAAGGTCTGGATAGATCCTCTTGATCTGAAGGGTAAAGTATCTTAAACCAACATACCTGTGAAAGCAATGGTGAAGCAGAGGAAAAAAGGAGATTAGATCTGGAAGGATTGAAAATTGCCACTGACACAAGATTCTCTTCAATGGACTCTTGTCAACTTGGACAGTTTCTTTGCAGATGTCTTGTACAGCATGCTTACTACCAGCCATTCTCTCATTACATAATTTTCTTGGGAAGAAAAATTCTGTTTATGTGTCCAACCCCTGACATCCTTGACCATTCCTTTACATGATTTCTCATTTAGTCTCATCACAAACAAATCTGTACCTTTTTAATCTACTCCATTCAGATTTTTGAGGCTGAATACCTCAATAATTATTGTGTACAACTCTGTTTCCACTGTGTCCAAACCTCCAGCCCCTCCTTCATATAGTGTCTATTATGAAAAGTGGCCAAATCTATAAAGTCCCTTGGGAAAGTCTTCTCTTACCACAAAGATATTCCATTTAAACTACCTTGAACTCAGACTAAAAGTTTAGTCCCAAGGTGGCCTTAATTCAATGTGGACTCACTCTCTCTACCACTCCCATGAATAACTACAGAGCCAGGTTGCCGCAGTCTGGCTGGGCACAAAATCACAAGCCACTCACAGCCTTGCAGATTCAAACAGCAATTCTTTATTCGCAAACTCACACCGGCACTCTACCCACGTTCTGGGGGAAAATCACATTCTGGGCAAAATCCCAAATACTCTCTCAATCCTGCGAGAACTCAACGGGAACCCAAGGAGCAGGTGAACTCAAGGAGCAGGCGTGCCTGAGGCAGCAGGATACGCCCTATTCCCAGCAGGGTACACCTTAAACCTGGAACCGCCCTAAACCCGGATTGTCCTAAACCTGGAACGCCCTAAACCCTGATCCACCCTAAACCCGGATCCGCCCTGGTCCTTGAGCAAGGTCACCTTACATGCAATGTCACTGCAAATGACCTGGGTCATGCCATGCATCACTCTTACTTAGCAATGGCCCTCAGCATCTCCCCCCTTCTGATTAATTAAACAACAAGCAATGTGGCTTAAGGACCGTGCCTGGTAGGTTGTTCAATTCAACATATGGTTCTTAACCGTCATGGGAAAAACTGACCTCTAGGCGTCAGCCTCCTGTCTTAGGTTGATACCACTGCAATTGGATCATACCCATCACTGACTACCGGTCCAGCATACAGCCATACTTGTGGATAGGCCTATGCACCAGTGGGGGGGGGGAGGTTCTTGCCTCACCTCTGTTGGCCCCCAATTTTGGCCTTGGTGCCAGTGGGGGGGGGGTGAGGTTCTTTGCCTCACCTCTGTTGGCCCCCAAATTTTA